TTAAAGTAGAAAATAAATACCAGAGATGCAGAAATTTTCCTCCACTCTTGCCAGCATTGTCTCTGGCATCAGCATCCACTGTGGTCCAGCACCCTGTCCCCTGCAGACATGAGGAGATACTCAGATCACAGCGTGTGCCGCACTTCTGTGACCCGGACCTGGCTTCCAAGCTTGGTCACACACTCGCCACATAGCAGCTCATCTACTATGACAGGAGAGGACACGGGGCCCAGAGAGGCCAGCTCACCTGTTCAGGAAGTGACAGGGGTGGCTTTGCACCGGGCCAGTTGGCTCTGTGCTTTTGGAGCACCGAGTGCCTCTCGTATTAGGAGACACTGCAGTGGCAGGTGGAACCCAAGAACAGCCCTAATCTCACTGCCCCGTGTGAACTCTTGGCCCTGTGTCCCTGCAGTTCCTTCCCCTGAGCAGGTGGAGCCTGACCCGCTCCCTGTGACTCTGGGTTCGGCCGTGCTGTTCTTTGGCCGTGGAAGGTTAGCAGGTGTGAAATGACCAAAGCCAGGACAACAGCTTTATGACTGGGATTGCTCTCTGGTGCCTCACCGGGGACATGGCCCAGGCCAGACTGGTACTGCTAGGAGGAAAGTGAGAGGCACATGTCCCAGAGCCCTGCCTGGATCAGCCAGTCATCTGCCAACTCAAGAGGCAAATAAGTACTCTGTACTGTACACTGCTGTGAGGTTGTAGCTTTTTGTTACGCGACATTATTGAGACAAGCGCTAACTGATACACCCTGTGTCCCTGACACTATTATAACTACAAACCAAATGGTTTTAAGCCCACTTGCAAGTTCTAAGTAGATAATCAGCACTAGGGCTTACTCCAAATGGTTTAGTGATCTGACACATTCTGAAGATACCCTGAAGGTGGGGCCTGCTCTGGCTGTGGCCATGGGACACTTTGACACTTCTGTCAGTTACTTCTAGTTACCTGGCAGGATGGTACCCACTTTTTGGCCTTTGGCCCTGGATCCTCCAGTGCCGCGCAGTCCCCCAAACAGGGGGACTCGGACCCCAGGGCTCAGGAGGACCAAAGCAGAGCTGAGCTGTAGTTGCCCCAGGGCCTTCCGATCCATGCAGCCATCTCCCAGGCTGATGAGACCAGTGAGGAGTCCTTGTACCTTGATGTTAAAAGCTGAAGGAGAAGTGAAACACACTGGACAAGGAGATTCCCAGTTAATATCCGAGGCCCATAGGTCAGGGATTTGTCTCCGTGGTTCTGCTGCCTCCCTCGCATGTATCCCAGTTAATATCCGAGGCCCATAGGTCAGGGATTTGTCTCCGTGGTTCTGCTGCCTCCCTCGCATGTATCCCAGTTAATATCCGAGGCCCATAGGTCAGGGATTTATCTCCGTGGTTCTGCTGCCTCCCTCGCATGTATCCCAGTTAATATCCGAGGCCCATAGGTCAGGGATTTATCTCCGTGGTTCTGCTGCCTCCCTCGCATGTACAAGGAGCCGAGTTTGATCCTTGGTACCAAAAAAAAAAAAAAAAAAGCAGCAGCAGCAAGCACAATATGAGGCCGAAAGGCTGAGGCAGGAAGATCACTTCAAGTTCAAGGCCAACCTGAACTACATTGTGAGACCCTGTCTCAAAAGAAAACTCTGGTAGGCCCACCCCTTTGGGCACCAACACAGCAGTGTTCTTCCCCTCAACACCCATGAACAGGAGAAAGAGGGCCTTTCTGAGGCTCCTAGATGAAAATTGAAGCCCACTGGAAAAGTGAAGAAAATCTGTGATACAGGCACAACACACCACCATAGTTGGAAAGTCGGAGGGACCAGCACCTCACATCAGAATCTGGTCTAACTTCAGGGGAAAGACAGCTGGAACCTGCAGTTAGGAACCTTGCAGCGTTCAACCCAGGAGGAGGTCAGAGATCTCAACCTGGGCCTTGCAGCCAGAAATCAGCCTGAACCTCAGAGGACAGCTGATGGCTTGCTGAGATTAACTTAGATCAACACTCCTGCCCACGCTATTGTATCAGCAGAGATATACCCTGAAGGAGGCCCTCTATTTCTATTTGTATTTTTAATTTTCAAAGTAATATTTTTCTTTTATCTTTAATCATTAAAATTTTTTAATTTATCCTTTTTTTTTTGGAGACAGTGTCTCACTATGTAGTTGAGATGGACCTGGAACTCCCTGTGTAGCCCAGGCTGGTCTTGAACTCACAGCAATCCTCCTGCCTTAGCCTCCCAGGTGCTGGGGTTACAGGCGTGCACCACCATGCCCAGATATTTATCTTTTTCTTTTCTCAAAATTTTCCTTTTAAGCTGGGGATTTAGCTCAGTGGTTCCACCGCCTGCCTTATACGCTCAAGGACCCGAGTTTGATCCCCAGTACCAAAAAAAAATTTTTTTCACTTTTATCTTTTTTCTTCTTTCTCCCCCCACCTTGATCTTCATTTCTCTCCCTTTTGTTCCTGTTTCTAATTTGAATTTATTTTCTTTCTTTTCCTTTTCTTCTCTTTTTCCTTCTCTCAAATGCCATTAGTTTTAAGAGAAAATGATTGGTCTCTAGCCTCCCTACTGCTGTTAGTTTGTTCTGTTCTTGTATTTTGTTCTGTCTTCTCTTCAACAGCTCCCTAGAGTTTGTAAGATTTTCCTGTGTCTTCTGACCACATTTCTAACCTCTCTCTATCCTATCTATCCCTCCCTCCCCAACTCCTTCTAAATCCCCATCCTGAAGGGTAAAAGTTGCTATATTGAAGAGCTTATTCACCAAAAACATATTTTGGGCTGGTCCTCGATTTGATTTAACTCACACAATTAAAGGTGATAGATTAGTAACTACCACAAATTGTCATTTTCTAAGTTGTACTTGAAGCTACTGTGTCGCTGATCGTATCACTTGGGCTAAGGTGCTGTGATTGATCTAATGAGTTTTCCTCCCTGGTAGAATGAAAATGAGATTGCCTCAGAGTCATTAAAGACTCAAAACGTAAAGACCAGCTATATCTGGAAGATCGAAGTATTAACCCAGGAATTAAACCAAGGACAGTACCAACAACAAAGACAGAAATGAGAAAACACTTAAATAAGACACAAACACAGACTTCCACCCCACCAAAGGTAAACTCTGGGGTAAGTGAGGTGGAAAAGTCTGACAGTCAACCATCTGGACACCCTGAATTGATAGCACAATAAGTAATAAAACCGATGAGGCTGTAGAAAAATTCAAAACAGAAATAATTTCCCAGATAACTACAGAGATGGTAAGAAGAATGAAAGACATGATTAGAGACTCTAGAACAGAAGATTAAAAAAACAAAATAGATGAGCTCAGGACCATGATGGAAACCACGAATGCCCAGCATAGGAAATAAAAGGAAACCTTGAATGCCCAACATAGGAAAGAAATGGAATCCATGAAACAGATTCAAACAGATATCCAGGAGATTAAAAACTCTACAGAAAGCATTCGCAGCAGAATGAACACATATGAAGACAGAATTTCAGATACAGAAGATAGGATTGCAGTCGGTGACCATGAAAAGAGAGATCCCTTAAAAAAAAAAAAAAGAGAGTAAGGGATGATGAGAAATCAAAGAAGATACCCTGAAATCCCTCCCCCGTTTTTGTAGTAGTTATTGAACCTAGGGCTTTGCATTCATGTGCTCCACCACTGAGCTATACTCCTAGCTCTGACATTTTGATTTTCTTTAAAAAGCTGTAATATAGGTAAATCAAAGATCCATTCCTTTCACTTGAAGACACAGTATTTATTTTGTTGAAATCAAACAGGATGCTCTGTTGATCAGTAAGTGGAAAGTGTCAAGCGTGAAGTTTGCACACAGTTGAAACAATATGCTGCAGGATACAGGCTGTACACATCCCAAGTAAGAGAAGGCCCACTCTGCAGACTTCCACAGCTTTGTTAGGACGGGGCAAGAATCAGCCACCACCTCTGAATGCCCAGGGCTAACTGGTAGCACCGTATTTGTTTTAATTCAATAATACCTTTGTGTACTGAGTTATGTACATGGAGACCACTGGAGTCTTCCATTCCCTGTGAACCAGACATTACAGAGGCAAATGGAAAACCAGATGGGAAGGTCGTGGAGAAGTGTACTTGGCTAAAAGGTCACCAGAGCACCGTATGTTACTAAATACAAGACAGAGTCCAAAAAGACACGTAAAGGCTGACGCGCAGATTCGATTATTTGCATTTTACACGTGTATTATTAAAACGATCACAATACTGGATTTGAAGGGAAAGAATCACGGATCAAAAAAAATTGCCTAAATTATCAACAAAATAATCAAGTTACTTGTGAGGTCTGTGGACAGCCAGCGGCCATGTTCCCAGCAAGGGGCTACCAGGGGAAAAGGAGGAGGGAGCTGCTGCGGCACAGTCACACATTTCAAGTGAGGAACAGCTCACCCGAAAAGGCAGGAGCACCTCTGAAAGGCACTCGTCCTTTCAGCACTGGGCAGCTGCCGAGAGTAGGTGTCATCACCAGTGGGACTGAAGGTGCTCGATCGGACCGGGCTGTAGGAAAAACTTCACATCCACGGGGTGCCTCTGTGTCAGGGTCAGGAAGTGAGCTTGTGTGCGTGTGCACATGTGTGCAGATGAACACATATTTCAGGAAGGCCGTGGTTCCTGCTAACCGAGGAAAAAAACTCACCACACCTGCTAGAACACCCCTTACAGCAGTGAGGGAAATGAGGAACAAATATTACATACACATCCAGTTACCTGAGGGATGACTAAAGCCATGAACCATGGCTCTCCTTAGATGAACTTTTTCCAGCAACACATGTGACCTATGACTATTAGGTGAAAATTGGCAGTTCACAACCAGTTCAGCAGTAGCAGGACACTGTTGCCTATGCATATCTGCCACGCCCATTAACTTCTTTGGTGAACTGTTCAAGTCCATTGCCCTCTTTTTAGCTGGACTGTTCATTTTCCTAACGGTGGGTTTTCAGAGGTCTTCATACATCCTGGGTTCAAATCCGTTGTCAGACATTCCTAACGGTGGGTTTTCAGAGGTCTTCATACATCCTGGGTTCAAATCCGTTGTCAGACATGCAATATGCAAACACTTCTGGTCAGTGTCCAATCGCCAATGGAAACCGCAGCATGATGGTGTTATTTAATGAGTTAGTCTCTCTTTAGAGTCCTGCCATTTCAACCCCCACCCAAAGAGGCACAGAATCTTTAAACTCTAGAGAAGGAAAAGGTCAAGTTTAAGCACTAAGAGAGTCCACCAGGCCCCTAAAAAGGCAGAGGAAAGCTCTTACAGTACAGGGAATGTGGTCCTGGACATTTGGGGACAAACTTGGTGGCAAAACAGACAGAAAATCTAATGATCACGAATGAGTGAATGTGCGTAAGATTAATGTTCTGGGGGAAAAGAAACTAGAAAAATATTCCATCGGTCTCAGGAAATAAATAGCTAACAAGCACGTAAGTACTGCCACACACGTAACAAAGTACACTTACTTGGCCCAGTAACATCGTTTAACCTCTGATGCCAGGCGAGAAGGACCACAGTGCTCTGTCCATCGTACGTGTGTTCTAAAGCATGCACATCACTTATTTAGTGGCACTTTTAATCTTAGAGCGAGTGCACCCAACATATAGGCTGTCCGTTCTCTGGCTGGTTTTCAACTACTAGGAAACCATTCGCCTCTCCTACAGGTTAATCAATGATCATTGTCATCATGACTTTGCTGGGTCAGGGAACATGATTATAGGGTAGAGATGACGGACACTCATGCTGAGGGTGTGGCAAGGACAAAACCCAGCAGCCCATGCCCAGATGGATCCCAAGGAAAGATGTGTACCGGGGAGTCCCTCTCATGCATCCTGAGGACGTTCTTGGTGTCTTCCCACACGGCTGGCTTGGCATCCGATGGAGGAACAGCGGCCCTACTGCTGACGATGACAGTCTGTAAGTCCCACAGCCCTGGCATAGTGAGTCCATGGGGACCACACCAGCCACTGCCTGGCATCTCGTGTAGTCATGTGTGAGGGAAACTGCTCCATCCCAAAGGGAAACTAAAGGTTCATTAAGGGATCCCACGCACGGGGATGGAGCTCCAAGGCTGTGGCTGCCCTCTGCCTGGCTGACTTGCACTTACTTGCCTCTTTCGGGCTGAAGGCTGTCGAGCAGGCACTTCAGCTGCTCTTCTCCCAGGTGGATTTTGTCCTCCAGCTCCCGCTGCTCGATGATGAGGGCCGACTTCATCTTCACAAAGTGCTCGTAGTCTGCCAGGCTCTCCTCGCTGAGGTACGCGGCCAGGATGTCAAACACGATGCGTTCACGGCGGTCCAGGTTCTCTTTGAGTTCCTTGGCATCCTCGTGCTGCTGGATGAGGACTCTCTGCTTCTCCAGCAGCGACTGCTGTGGGTAGGCAGAGACACGAGCCTGTTAATGACCTGGACAAAGGCAGAGGCCAGGACCAACCCCTGAAAATGGGTCAGGGCTGGGGGCTACTCCCACAGCTGTCCATTAGATGGGCTGTGGAAATCCTGATGTCACCTGAGACAGGATGGGACCCAGACAGGGGTGTGGATGGCAGATGCTTTGTGGCTGCAGCAGGCTCCTGGCCCAGCCCGCCCAGAAGCCATGCATGGAACCCCTGGGTTTCTTCACACTGTCCTGGCCTCCTCCTCTACCACCTGCCTTGAACAAACAAACCGTGGTGAGCAGCAAAAGCAATGAGGAGACCAGAAACTACAGAATTTGCAGGTGCTCAAAGGAGCGAAGGATTTGTGGATGCTGTTGGCGTCTAAGCCCTTTCCATGACGATGCTATGGGAAGGTTGGCAAGAGGGAAATTCTAGGGCAGAATGTCTCAACCTCCTGACAGAGAGAACTTGTGGGTGCAGTCACACAGGAGGACATAAGACAGAGCAGAGGACAGGACGGTGACAGGATGGTGTGTGAGTGTCTGGGGATCGGCCCCCCTACGCAGGTTCTGTTCTGGGGGTACCAACAACCCTGTTCCCAGCACACGAGACTCACACTCTCTCTTCTCATACAGCATCCATCTCACTGCCTTACTTAATCCAAGGTGAAGGAAAACGAGGAAAGGAAGGGATGGGCACAGTGTCCTCATGTGCAGGCTGGAAGGTGCCAGGCATTCAGTTCCTTAGCTCAGGATTCTTTCTTCGCTGTGGGGCCTTGCCCAGGGAAGCAGAAGCCCACGCTCTGCCAGTGGGCTTCCCCTCATCTTCTTCAAGGTCCTGATTTCCGGCCGAGCCCCAGGACAGCCGCTCTGCAGCCACGGGGCACGTGCAAGGGTACGCAGCACTTTGCAACACGCCAGGCACGGAAGGGGGGTCAGTGAAGCACAACTAGTACCACTATCACCAAGGAGCGGCCGGAAACTGCAAGTGCCTTCGGAGTACCGCTTCCGCGAAGTGCGGTGACCACGAAACTTCCAGAGGCCCACTTCAGAGGAATACCTACCTTGGTTTTCAGTGCGAGTGAAACAGAGAGACGAGATAGTGTCATGGAAAGAAGCCCGGGCTGACCAATTTCTTCCAATAAAGAGAGAGATAAGATGTTTTCTGGTTCTGGACATTCAACTCTGTTTTCGAAAATCTACCAGAGCCACCAGCACCTGGCAGCCACAGAGAAGACAGAATGTGTATGCGCGCGCGTGCGTGCGCGTGTGTGTACATGCGTGTGTCACAATAAGTGAGCACTTTCAAGGCCTACTATGTGTAAAGAACAGAGTGAGATGTTTTTCCAACAATATTTGACCTAGGAGTAAAGTATTTTGCATATAACTACACTGAAACAGACCCGCTAAGGAGTATGTCAGCTCAGGAGTAGAAGCAAAGTTGGACAAGCCCTTTGACCCTGTCTAGATGGCTAAGGGCAATCAAGTTACATTATAGTGGCAACAGTACTAAAATGTTCTCTACCAATGATTACGTCTGATTTTTCAGAGGGGGATGAGCTCAGTCAATGGACTGACACACGATCAAGTTCAAAGGAAGCCTGTGTTCTAGGAAGAGACACTTGTGAGTAAGGACCAAGGGGAGGGTCTGGAAAGACGTCTAAAGGAGGGAGCAGCCAGTTCACCATACCTCAGCAGCACATACCCCCCCACCCCTCCCCAAGGAAAGAGTGGCCACAGGCACTGACTGTGCCCACGGCATCTACCCTCCAAGCAGCTGCCCTTCCCAGCACCCGGCCTGCCCGTCTGCAGCCACTGTGTGTGTGGTTACCCGGTCACCAGGAGAAGGGCTGTCTTCCAAGTTATTGAGGGCGTTTTCCACCCGGGCCAGGCGGCCCGACAGCGACAGCAGCAGATTCACCACTTTGTCCAAGTCTCCGATGAACATCCGGAACTTGTCGAACTCATTGGGTTTGCAGACGTCTTTCACGATGGCCTCCACCTCGTCCCCCAGTGCGCTGTTGGCCTGGATGTCCTCGAGCAGGCTCTCTCGGGCTTCTCGGAGCACCTGCAGCTTGCGACCGATGCTGTCGATGAGCTCCTGCTGCAGGGATACAGGGCAACACGGAAACACTCGTTAGCATGCCCATGCCTGAACCCCAGTGCCAGTGCTCACGTGCCTCCTGTGTCAACTTCTGCGCAACAGGATGAACTTTTTTTTTTTGCATTAAAGGCAGTGAGCCCAGGGAAGGCTAAGTTACAACCCCAACCTGAGCCTCCTGCCTCAGCCTCCCACAGCCGGTACTACAGGAATGTGCCATTGTGCTCAGCTGTTAAGTTCATTCTCCACCATCAAATAATACAGAGGACCCTCGAGTTACAATCAGCCTGACATATGAACAACCTGGGTCATGTTAGAAATTCTAGTTTTAACTTATGGCCAAACTCTTGAGTTATGACCTCCTCTAACCAAGCCTGCCTCCTTGCCATGGGACCTATCCACAGCACAAGCCAACAGGTGTTTACCCTCCAGGGTGAGTGCTATAGAAGCAACGGTCGGCAGGGGAGTCGCGTGCTACCTTTGGAGAGCTCAGCCCTATCCGAGACGCTCTTGACTAAAGCAGCTTCACCCAAGAATACCAAGCTTCCTCAGGCAGAGTCCGCGTGGCCTAAAAAGTCAAATAGTGCTCGGGCACACAAACCACAAGGAAGACGAAACCCTGCACGCGAACAGGCAGGTCCATGGAGGACTCCAACACACGGGGAGAGCAAGAGGAGGAGGTTTGCATCCAAGTCGGGACTGGTATTGGGCGAGGATCTGGGTTAGTTCAGTAATGTGCTTCTCCTCCGAATGACAACTAACACGGGGCCATGGTCTCAGCTTGGGGTTTGGAACCAGTTTAAATAATCAATGGATGACAGGCTTGGAGCAGAAGAGACGGAGGCCCCCTTCCGCTCACCAGGACAGAACATCCTTTCCCAACACAGGAGCAACTGCCGTGCAGCACTGGCGCTAAGACAGCTGAAGTCACAGTGTGGGACGAGCTCAGCGTGGCACCCAGGAGGTGCCTGGGACAAGTCTGAGACCGTCAATGTGGACTAGGAATGGCCTGCCCCATTTCATACAGCACAGGCAAATAAGAACCACCATGCTGCCGTCCACATCAGCAGGAAAGGTCTCAGCCTCAGACACAGTGAAAAGAGACTCCCCACCTAGCATTTCTGGAGGCACAGCAAACAGAACAGAGCCAGCGCATGGGGAAGGCCTGTGCTCTCCTCGGGCCTGCCTCCTCTGCCCCTCAGGCCGAGTGCACACCCGGCGGGCCCACAGATGGACGGCAAGCAGTCTGCCGGCGACAGGCGATTAAGACGCACAGTCCTCTCCCTGGGAAGGACCAGATGGGGTTTATAAATTGCTTCGGCTTTTCTAGGTCAGGCTCCAGAGACACAGGGTGGCAAGACATTTTCTTTCCCTACAATTTAAATAAGGAACATGTCTGTACTTCTTTTATGTCCCTCTCTCACTCTTGTGGCGCTGGGGATGGAAGCAGGGCCTTGCTCCTGTCAGGCAAAGGCTGTAACACATTCCTACATCCCCAGCCCTTTTAAAAATGTCTCTCCCCACTCCCTCCTTCCTCCCTTTCTTCCTCTCTCCTTCTGTGTGTGTGTGTGTGTGATGTGTATTTACCTAGCTATCTGGAAAGATTATTTAAATCAACTCCAAATCTCACAGCTGAAAACACAGCCCTATTTATTTTTTTATTTTCATCGTGTGAGACAGGGTCTTGCTATGTAGTTCAGCCTATTCTTGGACTCCCTGTGCAGCCCAGGCTGGCCCTGATCTCATGGCCTGGAACTCCTACCTCTGCCTCCCGAGTGCTGGGATTACAGGCATGAGCCACCACCACACCTGGCTTCATAGCCCCATGTTAGACAGTCATCACGTGATGAAAAAAGCACAAAACACAAACTTTCCAAATCCTCACCCCATGCCAGTCCTAATGAATGAATGCTCCAAGGAATGGAGATACCCACATGGGTACAAGGACCACCAGCAGCCAGTTACTCAGGAGGCCTGCTGGGGTTTTTGGTGGGATGGGGTTGCCAGGTGGAACCAGGGCCTTGCACACAGTAAGCAATGCTCTATCACTGGGGTATATATACCCCAGGCCCTCAGTACGTTTCCTCAGCAATTATAGTGATGAAGATTTCTCATCCGTGTATGAAAACAGGACTTCAGAACCTTACCTGGACAGGGGATTTTGAAACTGGGCAGTCTGAAAGGACTCTAAATTCCTTGACTCACCCAAATTTTTGTTTACTTATTTACTTATTTATTTTGCAGTGCTGAGGGAAAATGTCTCATAAAAATATTTACCCCGTCTTTGCTACAGAGCCATTTACACAGTACAGACCCGCTAATGAATAGCTCAGACCACACAAGAGCGCTAAGCTCCGTCCTTAGCACCACTTACTCTTTGACACAGGATCTCACTAAGCTGTCCAGGCTGGCCCAGACCTTGTCATCCTCCTGCCTCAGTCTCGAGGTAGCTGGGATCACAGGTGTGCGCCCCCATGCCCAGCTTCCTCTGCTTATTTTTCCCACACACACCAGGCTGGGAGAGAAGAATAAGAGTGTGCTGGAGGGACTAGTCCCACGTTGCCTCTCACCTCTCGATTCTGATGGGCTGAGGCTCAGGGGTGGAGCCCTGGACACTTGGCTTCCTCTGACTGGGTGGGACCCAAGTGCACACTTACAGTTCGACTCCAAGCGAAAACCAATGTCTTTTCTCTGTTGGGCCTGTGCCCACGTCTCTGTTCCCCACAAGAAACATAATCCTCAACGACTTCCAATTTAAATGTGTCTACCATATTTAAAATCAATCAATGGTATTTGTAAAAATCACTAATGATACAAGCATCCTTTCAAAGTAATCACTTGCAAAAGGCTTGTCACAAACAAACAAGCAAATCAGCAGTTTTTAAGGATGCTCCTTCCGCCATGGGGGCCCACAGCAAACACAATGCCACCACCTCTTTTCTGTCCCCAGTGCTCATGGCTGAGGGGAACCAAGTCCCCGGGAATAAACCACACACACTGTCCCCGCGCTTGTCTTTGGCCATGCTGCATCCCTCACACACAAACCAGGCGCCTCTGCGAGGTCACGGGTCTGGCCAGCTGACACGTGGGGAGTTACTCTGCACAGTGACCGTCATGGCCATCACCCATAATTGGTCCCTTAGTCCCGTTTTAATGTTATCCCACCCTCTCTTGCCCCTCAGCTCCAGGCCCAGGCCTCTGCTGTTTCTCCTCAGGACCTGTGCATGCATTTGCTCTCCCTCACGCAACAGACCTGTCCAGGGCTTGCCCCTCACATATGTCCTCTTCAGAGCCTCCTCCACAATCGCACCCATTTGTCTCTCTACCCCCTTACCCTGCCCCAGCTGCTCTCACCACTCGACAGAGTACAGCAAGGGTCGGCAGACTCCACCCGTCAAGGGCAGACAGTAAATACTTCAGCCTTTACAACGATCACAGTCATGACTGCTCGATTTTGCTACTGTCCTATGAATGCCACCAGAGTTCATGTGCAAATGAACATGTGTGGCTATGCTTCAATAAAACTTTATTTACAAATGCAAGCAGTGGCCAGGCTTGTTCAGAGCTTGCACTGTACAGGACCTGTGTCTTTGTGTGATGGTGTCCACCACTCCCATGAGTACATGAGCGCCCTTAGAGAAGGTCCTACTCTGTATTCTGTCCACTGCAGGGGCCTCAGGAGCCAGGCTGGGTGCTTAGGAGTTGGACACAGATGCGGTTTAGCTGACAAAGCCCTTTCTTTCATGAGTCTAGGTCTCACTGTGTTGCCCAGGCTGGTCTCAAACTTGTGATCCTCCTGCATTAGTCTCCCGAGTGCTGGGATTACAAGCATGCACCATCACGCCTGGCCTACAGAAGGTACTCTTTGACTGTTGGGTTTATTTATAATCATCACATTAAAGATATTTGAACCTGATATTCAAAGAGGACAGGACAAGTGGCACACTGAAGGTCATATGATTAAGTCCCCTGGATTTCAGCTGGGGGGAGAGACTTCTCTGTTGGACTTAGAGAATGGTACCCAGTGAAACTAATTTGAAATGGATCTTATAGAAAAAAGATGGCAGAGAGACCCCTGTAGAAAGTGAGAACACTGATCAGAGCAGAGAATAAACCACAAGAAAGAGGGCTTGCCAGTATTGCCCTATAGTTCCTTGTCCTACAGGAGAGCCAAATGTAAATGCTCTCAGACATGATGCAGAGCCTGTACAATCTCTTTATTTTAAAATGGGGTCTTGCTTTGTTGCTCAGGGTAGCCTTGACCTCCTGAGCTCAAGTGATCTTCCTGTCTCAGACTCCCAAGTAGCTGGGTCTGCAGGCACAGCCACCATATATGGCTCCAATGTGCGGTTCCAGTTTGGGGTTCCCTTTCCTACCTTCTTCAGGGACAGGTCATGGTCCAAGTCGCTCCCTGAATCCTCTTCAGACTCCTGCTGCTGGCGCAGGTCCTTCATCTTGATTAGCAGTTCCGCCTTGGGGGCGGATGTGCTGTAGTAGGTGGAATTGGTGGCCAGAGACACGGCGGCCGGCACACTTGGCTCCTCTTTCCTGGGTAAAAAAGGTCAGAACTTCAATTAGCTGCAACCATATGCACAGACGCACACTTTGGACCTGCTCCCCGAATTGTGACAAATAAAAGCTGGCCCTAGCAAAAGGATACCAGCTAAGATGAGAGGAGGAAAAGCCGGAGGAGGAAAAGAAAGTAGGTAACAAGGTTAAGAAGAAAAAAAAAAAAAAACAGGGCTGGGGATTTAGCTCAGTGGTGCCCGCATCTAGAAAGCATAAGGTCCTGAGTTTGATCCCTGGTACCAAAAAAAAAACACATACACACACACAAAACCCATAAACCTTGCCACATGGGTGCTCACTAAGTCTGCGTGAGCGGTGTTTACTGTTTGCTTTGCTTCATAGTGCTGGGGATTGAACCCAGGCCCCACACATGCTAGGCGAGCGCTCTACCACTGAGCTACATCCCCAGCCCATGGATGGAGGCGTTTTAAACAAGGAGAGAAATCTGTGCTGCACAGGTACAGCCCAGACTGCACATGGGGAGCTGGGGGCAGGCGGGTAGATGTAGGTGACGCTACAGATGCCGACCCCTTTTACAGGCAGTCTCCTCCGCTCCCCTCATGCCTGGCTCCGTTTCTCCTCTGCTGTCCTTCAGAGAGAAGCACTGCCCTTCTGCCACAGAATGATGCTTGTGGCGACAGAGGCCATGTAATCAGCAGGAAAGATGTTGCTGCACGCCCCTATGTGGCCACATGAGCGCTATTTACAAAAACTAACTAAAACCACTGTGTTCACACAGAGGTCAATATATTGGTTTTTGCCAACAAAATGCACGGCAGTGTCCCTGCAGCAATAATAGGTAGGCTTGGGCCCAGGGGCCACAGTATGCCAACACTTGGTGCAGATGTCTTCCAGTACCACCTCACCTCCTGTTAGTTTGCTTGTAAGACTCAGGCTGAGAGCATGACACCCGGTATCTTCACACTAGAAACGAGGTGCTTCCTCTCCAGTGTACCAGCCCGAGCATCCCTGGCGGGGATGCCAGCTGGCCCCTGGGGCAGGCAATGGCCTCTCCAAGAACCTGTTGTAGGCTCCAAAAAGGAGCCCTGTGGGCCTTGTGCCCATCAGGCTGGCCACAAGCCCAGGACATCACTGCTGCAGACTTTCCTACATCCACCAGGCGCCAAGGTCATCATGTCTGTAGCCCTGACCTCGCTCTAGGGGCACTGGCAGAAAAGCCGCAAGCACTGGGGGCTCCTGTGAAGAAAGATCTGGCCCACTCAGAGACAGCAACTGTGCAAATCCACAGACAGATACGCTCTCCTCCCTGCCGAGCTCAAGGGATGTGGGCAGAGTCCAGAACCCGCTAGAGGGCAGCATCTACTCACTTCTCCTCTGTGGTCCTGGGAGAGGGGATTTTGGGGAGCAGCTTCCTCCGCTGCTGAGCCTCCTCCAGGAGATGCTCGTCTTTGGGGAAGATCCCCTCCATCAGGTCCATGGTGGTCTTGATTTTCACACTGGGATCCAGGATGTCGGCCAAGGACTTATCCTTGCCCACGATCTCCCTGGCCAGCTCCTCGGACTTCAGGTCCTCTGCAGTCTTCTCTTTGGTCTTGGCATAGCTGAGCCTTGGAGGGGAGGCACAGGCGTCCAGCGCAGGGGCCGTGGGTGGCTCGGGAGGCTGGGGTGCAGGCGGCCGGGATCGCTGTGGGGCCTCAGCCTCAGGGCCCTGCCGTGTGTACACACAGAAGCGGGAGTAGCTCTGCTCTGACGTGCTCAGCGTCTTGATCTGGTCCCGCTCCAGCCCGCTGGGCAGTGCGGGCAGCTCGGCCGGGGGTGCCAGGCTCTGGCGACTCTCCTTCTCGGGCTGGCTCTCTGAGTGCACGATCTTGATGGGCACCATCTTCACCGTGGTGTTGTTGTCCATCACCCGCTCAATTCTGGAAGAGACAAGCAAGGCTCTGAAACCCTGAGAGGAACACCGTCCCCTCCTGGGCCCACTCGGTGGGCAGCAGCACCAGGTCCCACATAATCGAGGAGGGTGAGAAGGTGGCCCCATCTGAGCCCGCTTGTGATCTCCCCACCCCCAGGTCAAGCACCTGTGGCTAGGAGGGCACCTGCTGGGTGACCAAGTGACATGGGTGATCAGTCCACACTTACTTCCTTTCACTCTGATCATTAATTGTGCAGACAGTGACAAGTTCAGCCCAGTTAACCTTTCCCAGCTGGCGAGTTTGCAGTGGGGTCAGGGTGGGCTCGGCACCCCGGAGGGCTTCTAATGCAGAGGGCTACGTCTGGCCGAGGGCCCCCATCCATCGCTCCCACTTAGAGGCACCTCATGAGCTGCCCTTTCCTTCCCCCAAGCTACCCCTTGTAAAACATCACACCAGTGAGAAGCTCACGGAGGTACCAGGGCACCCACGGGCTCTGCGTCTCAGTCATGCGTGTGTTAAGAAGGGCACGTGTTTCCTTTTGAAACGAACAGGTCTTGCTGGGTCTGGTTGCAGAGGCCTGTAATCCCAGCACTGCAGAGGCTGAGGCAGGAGGATCACAAGTTCAAGGCCAGCCTGGACTATCCAGTGAACTCAAGGCCAGCCTAAACTACATAGTCAAGACCCTGCCTCAAACCACAACAAAGCAAATTTCTTGGTGAAAGGGCCAGGCTCGGAAGCAGTCATAGGGAAGTGAGAAAAAATGAGAAGAGACCACCTAGTCCACACCACAGACCCTGGCCTGGGCCAGCTCAGATGTAGGGAGACTAAGCCAGGGCTGTCAGGACTGGCTGATTTCCGGGACACAATGAGGGAACACGGCCCCCTGCTGGCCCGGGAGGGGGGAAAAAATAAGCCCAAACTCAGGAACCAAAAGAGATGGACCCCGTGCCGTGTGGCCCAAGGGAAGCTATGGTAAACAGCTGATGAACAACATTAGTTTCTAAATGAAATGCTGGTTTCCACCCCTTCGGTGTACTACTGAGAGGAGTGCTGGACGGCCTACCTCCTCCCCAGGGTGTGTGCAATGCTAAAATGAAATGTTTTGTGTTTTCTTCACGCTCTCTGGGAGATATATTAAGAGCTGATATGTTTTACCTGGGCATTCGCATACGGTCCTTCCTTACAAATAACTTTTAAAAAGTCTACCTCTGTGGAAAATCCTATTTCGATGTACTGAACTTAAAAAGGCAAACCCTGCCATCTTATCCAAGGAAGAACAAATAAACAAAAACCTTTGAATTCCCTTCTTTCTATACTTAGAAATCCTAATCACCTAGTATTGAATGTTAACTCAGATTGAATTTTTATCTTTCCTCATTTGTGGAGAAATTTGATTTCTAGTGAAAGGAAGTGTAACAGGAAAAATTAAGCAACAAAAACAAATCATACAGGTTAACATGCATTTTCTAACATGTCACCTCTATCTATCTATCTATCTATCTATCTATCATCTATCTATGTATCTATCATCTATCTCATCTATCTATCTAGTTAGCTAGCTAGCTATCTAATCTGCCTGTGGTGCTGGGGATGTGCACTCCAACACTCCAGACAAGAACTCCACCACTGAGCTACATCCCAGGCCTTCTCTGTTCATTTCTATACACAAAGTGACCTCTCATCTCAAAAATGGTCAAGATAGGGGTCAGGGGTTAGCTCAGTGGTTCCTGCCTCGAAAGTGCAAGGTCCAGAGTTCAATCCCTGGTACCACAAAAAAAGGTCAAGACAGGACTGGGGATTTAGCTCAGTGGCGACACTGCCTGCCTTGTAAGCACGAGGACCCATGTGCAATCCCTGGTACCCCAAAAAAGTCAAGACTTCCACCTTAAAAAAATTTGATGCACCTCTGCCTGGAGTAAGATCAAAAATACAGGCAATCAGACCTTCCTGCTTCCAGATCTCACCACTTCCTAATCAGAAAACTGGACCAGGAGGGATGGAGGAGGAGGGCCTTGCCACCCTGGCCTGCTATGAGGTGACGCAGCTCCTCCCAGAGCACAGGCCTCCCTGCAGGTCAGTGGACCCCATCTCGAAGTCGAAAGGCCTCCCCTATCACGCCACCACCTGCAGCCCCACCTGCCATGCTGGGGCTCCCGAGCCACATGGTCCAGTGGGAAGCTGTGCCAGCGCACAGTAGTGAAATCCTGTAGGAGGGTCCTGCCTGCTCTGTGCTCACTCACTCTTCCAGACATCGAAACAAAAGAATGTACCTCAGAAGAGTTCTGAGGGCAATCAAACCTCCACCTCTAGCTTATTTTTTTTTTTGAATGGGAGTGGAGGGAGAGAGGGAGGAGAGAAAGAAAAAGAAAAGAAAGGAAGGGAGGATGAGGGAGAAAGAGAGAGAGAGACAGAGAGGGAAGGAAGGAAGGAAAAGAGACAGAAAGGAGGGAGGGGAGGGGAAGCCTTTAGCCACAGATGGTATGGAAGTTACCTGTGAGACTAGGGTATGTGATTTCAGGGAAGAGTACAAAGAGTCTGTCAGTAAGGAGAGACTTCCCCTTGTCCAAATACATTGTGATGCAGTCCAAGCCAGCCCTGAACTCGACAAGTAACCTAGGCCATGAGACCAGACTCAAACTTGCAATCCTCCCCCACCAGCCTCCCAAGTACCTGACATTACAGGCATCCACCAGCATGCCAACCTGGCTAGCCTTTACCTTAAAAGAAAGAAAGAGGGAGGGAGGGAGGGAGGGAAGGAGGGAAAGAAAAGAAAGCAAGAAAGCAGAAGAACTGGGGATGTAGCTCAGTGGCACCATGCCTGCCTGGCAAGTGCAAGGTCCTGAGTTTGATTCCTGGTACCAGAGGGGGGGGGAAAACGCATAGGGAAAAAGGAATAGAAAAATACTGGCCATAATGCAAACACCAACTTCACTTAGGCCAGACCTGATACTGATCGTAACTATTAAATGAGTTAAAAACACACCCCCACCCCACCCCACCCATCTGCAGACACCTGTGGGTGACACAGATATAAATGCATTCAGAGTGAGGGAGAGGGACGGTCAGCCTCCGAGGGCACGGGCAACCCCACTGAGTCAGAGCTCCCCCGGATCCCCAGAGTCCGGCTTCTCCTCCAGGACTGGCCTTCCACCCAGTCCTCCCAGGAAGAAAGCGCAAAACCTTGCTTGCAGAGCCAGGGTACACAGGATGCCCCTGGGAGCCCAATACCTTGTCGGATGCTCAAACTGAGTTTGACCTGGTACCAGAGGGGGGGGAAAACGCATAGGGAAAAAGGAATAGAAAAATACTGGCCATAATGCAAACACCAACTTCACTTAGGCCAGACCTGATACTGATCGTAACTATTAAATGAGTTAAAAACACACCCCCACCCCACCCCACCCATCTGCAGACACCTGTGGGTGACACAGATATAAATGCATTCAGAGTGAGGGAGAGGGACGGTCAGCCTCCGAGGGCACGGGCAACCCCACTGAGTCAGAGCTCCCCCGGATCCCCAGAGTCCGGCTTCTCCTCCAGGACTGGCCTTCCACCCAGTCCTCCCAGGAAGAAAGCGCAAAACCTTGCTTGCAGAGCCAGGGTACACAGGATGCCCCTGGGAGCCCAATACCTTGTCGGATGCTCATCGTGGATGAGCAGGGGGGGCTTGTCCGTCAGCTTCTGGGGTGCAAACTGAGGTGACGGGGAGCGAGACGTCTCCATGGCGGAAAGCTGCGGAGGCTGGAACTTGGATGAGGGCTGTGCTTCTGGTTGAGGACAAGGGGTGTCCTCTTTCACATGCTGGTGGTCACAGGCAGCGGAAGCCTTCAGGGTGCCATGGGGCTGGGCACTGCTGAACCCAGAGGGGCTGCGGGAGAGGGCCGGGCAGGTCACAGCAGTATTCAGGGGTGCAGCTGGCAGGTCGGCCGGGTGTGCATCTGCGGGAGCTGAGATCAGGGCTCTGTGCTTCCTGGACTCTCGCTTGGGCGGTGGAGGCCTCTGCGGGGCTGGCCTCTTGAGGGGTGCAGCGGCGCTCACTGGACACGAGTCCTGTCCCTGAACCAGCAGGGGCGAGGGGGCACCCTGCCCTCGTTTTCCCAAGTCTGCGGGCCTATTCTCCTCTGAGTACCTGTAATCTCGGGGCAGAGTCCCTGCTCGGCCCCGGCCCTCCCTGGGCAACTCAGGGGCTTCCTGAGTTGGGGCTGTGCCACACAGCGAGGACAGGGGCTGTGCACTCTGCTTCTCCGGGTCCTGCTGTGCTGCTGGGCTGGCCCCGGGACACTGGGCATCTGCTTGTCTAGATGAAGAATGAACAAAAATCAGCTGCGGGTTCCAATGGACACCTTCCCCTGCCTGGGTCTAGACCCACACCTTGACGATCCCTCTAGGTCACCTGAGGGACGTAAATCCGTACACGCTTCCTCAGACCTGTATCTCCACGGCCACTCCTAAAGCCAGGTGGCATTCCTAGCACACACCAGGCAAGATGCTGTATGTGGCGAGTTATGCAAGGGACCCAAAGCATGAAAGACTCATGCACACACGCATGCACGTGCACACACACAAATACACTGACCGCATTCTTTCAATTTAAAAACTGCACAAATTTGTAGAAAACCATGTGGAAATCTACAGCTATAGTCAGAACTATTGGTTCAAGTTGCAGTATTTTCATATTTCTCCTAGGAAACCGCCATAGAAACCAGGGTATGCCTTCCTTTTCTTAGATGGGCTGCAAGTCAATCCAGTCATCTTTAAAATCCAGTATCGAGTTAGGACAAGAAAAGGGCCACTTCCTGTGGAAGCAGTTACAACTTGTGGATCTTCTCCGGACTTTATCACACCACATATATGCGCACACACTTACATAGATGTGACGTGCACAGACTTCACGTGTGTGCTTATCCATGTCACTGCTAAAGTGCTTGGGCTACAAACTACGAAATGTGCACAAATCAGCCAGCTGCACTTTTGGCTGCACAATGCTTCCTCCAGCCCAAAAGGTAACAAAACAAGCCTCTGATTTAAGATAAGAACGATTTTGTCATTTTTTTTTTTTTAAAAGGACACATTAAAAAAGCACACGTAAGTACTGGAGTAAAGCACTTGCCTAGGATGCACGAGGCCCTGAACTCAATTCCCCAGGAGGAGGGCACAACAACTCATCAACAGAATCCCAGACGAGGGCAGCAAATGGAGACCCACGCAGGAGACAAACACAAGCACAAATAAGAGATGCAACCTAGTCAGTAAGAAGGAGAAAACAGGCTGCCCAGCCATACCCAGGCCACAAGAGTCTCAGCCCGAGACTGCCCCTGCCTCTGAACTCATGCCCCGGCACAATCTGGAGACAGCCCGTGATGGTCTGGGTGCCATGGGTGGGATCTGCAGCATTGGGGAGAGAGCACCTGGGCGATGCCAGTCTTTACGTCCTGCTGGTTGGGCACTCCCTCCAGGTCATGTGTGCTCCAGCACAGAAGAGGCCCGAGCATCCCCATCACCTAAGTATCCATCACCAGCATCCATCACCTAGAGCCAGGCCCACGAAAGCCCCGAAGCTCTGGGTTCACACATATGGGCTGCACAGCATACACGTAATTACAACCCGGTGAATTACGGGAAAGCTCAAGCTCACCCAGCAGAGACGACCTGGTGCCCTGTCGATCGGATTGTGAACAACCCAATGACAGGTGCCCAGGCAGGGCACGCATTCCCAAATCCAGAAGCCTAACACCTCCACTCTGTTCCCTGCCCCTACGCTCACCGCGCTGCTTCTTGCCCCGCTAGTGCCACTTCTTTCATTTCTGCTGGCACAACCCGCTCGCTCTGAGCATACCTTGCCCTGTGAACTTCAATAAACGTAACTGCACTTCTTCTTTACCGTTGTGTCTGCAACTTGCAATTCTCTGCTCACTGCGCACAAGAATCTGGAGTCTATCTCCCAGGAACCCATCACCTGTTCTATCGATAGCACCAAGCAGAAGAACTCGAGGAGATACCAGGCCAATGCACAGAAGCTTCATCTCTTGTGTGCGTTCAGTGGATACTCACAGATACATGTAGCTGAAGTCTGATCAAAAAAACTCGGATGTAACAACGAATGGCTTAGAAAACAATACCCAACTGAGTCACTGCCTAGCTACAAGACAGAGGATGACACCAGCATACTGTCAAACTGGCGATGGATTCTGAGAAGTGCAACTCAGGACACTTCAGAAAGCAGGAGTGCACCGGACTTATTTTCCTCCTCTCAAAACTCTGAAATTTAGCATCCACAGACCCCTCTGAAGGTACCTGGCACCTCCCTGTCATTTAACAGCTGTCACGCTGTATTAACAGAAAATCAAACGAGCTTCAATTTTGGGTAAAATCTAAGCGCCGTTGGTCACTTGCATGCAGGCATGATTTGCAAAGGGTCAAAAAATTGGGAATCGACCCGAGTTCATTCCCCGGTACCCCCCCCAAATTTGGGAATCTGGGGTTCCTCTGGGGTCATGTTCCAATCTTGTATCTAACAGGTTCCAAGACAGCTCTATATAGATAACACGTGCACATGGCACGCAGTACACCTTCAGACGGACACTGATGCTGTGTACGTGTGTAGGTGTACATGCTGGACAAGTGTGCTGTGTGTGCATGCACAGGTGTGCTTGCCGTGCCATGCCTGCATTGCGTTGTATGTGCGTGTAGTGCAGACAGAACAAAGGAGTTGAGGAAATCACTCCCCATCCACCCACTTGAGCTTGAACAGCACCCTAGGGTCACTCCTCCTTCCGCTGTCCTAAGAGGGGTAGAGAATAACGTAACAAAAAACCCAAGCAGATCTTTGCTACTGCAGTTGAGAATATATGGCACTAGATCTCCTGGCCTGATCTGCAGTCATCTTCACCTTACTCAGACCTTATTAAGGTTTCATGAATATGCACTGCATCTCATAAATATAATTAAGAGCAGAGTGAATTCTGGGACAGATGTGTGTATGGAGAGCTCCTGGGACGACAGAGTATCCTGTCAATCACACTTAGAAACTCAGTGGGCGGTGCCTGGGTGGAGATGCATATTCTTTAATCTGTGTGCCGTGTCCTGTGTGCAGTATACAGTGCTTTTACTTCCCTGTGATCCCAGCACCACTTTTCTGTTCATGCCATATTTTTGTCAGCATGGACTTGCCCTGAGCACAATTTCTCATGGTCTTCAATAAACGTAGCTGCCTTCCACTTGCCACCGGCTGTGCCTGCCTGTAATCCACTGCTCACTGTACACAGAAGCCTGGATTTTACCTGCTAAATTCATCATAAGGTAACATGTGTGTAGCATAGGTGTCTGTGTTGTTCTATATATAACATATGTCTCCGCTTATATGTATGTAAGAATTAAAAAAAACAAAACAAAAACAGAAGGAAGGAGCAGGTCCAGAGACAGACAAAGCAAGAGAAGCAGATGACTTAAGGATTTTGTGTATCCACCAAGTGCCTGGGCAGGGAGGAAAGCCACACAAAGAATATGTGAAAGGCAGCTGTACCCAGGATCCTGGCAACTGATATTTAGGCTGGATCCCTTGTTCATTCTCATGCAAAGCATGCCAATAACAGGTTACCAGGGACAGAACCCCAGCTCTGAGAGGGGAGAGGTCCAGTGTGCCAGGCAGTCTCCTGCCAGGCAGCAGAGGTTCCAGCAGCCTATGTGTTCAGCAGAGCCCAGCCAGTCTCCTCGCTGGACTAATCATGGCTGCAGGACTCAGGTGCCGAAGGGTCCCTAACAGGACAACATGGCCAAACAAAAGGCATCTGAAGAGGACCAGCCTTTAGGAAGGGCTGCCTCTGATGCTGCCCATTGCTCAGCATGGTATCAGAAACCACTGTCAGGGAAAAAGGTCAACCGCTCTTGAAATCCATCATCATCGCTAATAATTCAAATCCTGCTATGGGGCCAGCTAAAGCAACTAATGCATGGTTTTCCAAACATCAGAGGCAGCCGTTTTATTTCCAGGCTCCATCTGTTCACACACTCTCCCTTAAGACCATGGACTCATTTCTCTGGGTCTCTTTTCCGCTCTCTGAGGCCACATCTGGGCACAGCTGGTTCTGTACCACTGAAGCCCTCAGCCTCGCCAATTCTGCCCTGTGCTCTGGTCATGCCCAGCTCTCCTGAGCTCCCCCTGGGCTGGAAGCATCTCCTCAGGTGGCAGGGGTCCGACCCACAGGTACAGATTTATTACACGGCTCAAGCTCCACCTTCACCTGCAGGCCCCTGAGGCACAGAGACAGATGCACCACCCGCTGGCCAAACGCCATGGTGCAGAACATAAAGAGAAGAGCCACATGTTTTTCAAGACACAACCGGCTATATCCTCCGTGAAACAACCAGTGCACAAACATCCCAACAACGCTAAACATTTCTAGACTGCTACATCATCACTCATTAATTCGCTGTTGCTTTGTAAACAGGGTCTACAATTCCTTTCAACATGAAGGACTGGCAAATTCTCAGTCTTTGGCATGACTTCAGGAATATACACCATAAGCCCCTCTCTTCCCGAGAACATTTGGTGTCAACGACAATGTCACAGCCCCACCCAGGCAGAAGGGAAAAACTTCCCAGGCAATGCAGTTACACATCCTGCAAGCACAAAGGATAACAGGAAGCCAAAGTCCAGGTTCGAGATAAGCAGCCTGCCCTATGCAGAAACATCTGCAGGTCCAGACACCCCTGAAGACCACTAGACTTCCTCTGCCCCAGAACAAAAGACTTCCTCCACTCCAGGACAAAATCCCTACTCCTCCCCTACCCAAATTTCCTTATAAAGTTTCCCCTTGCCCAATCCCCCACGGTCAACAGCTTTGTTGCCGCTGACTAGCCTGCACCCAGGCTGGAAATAAAACTTTCCTTGTTACTTCATTTTTGCCTGCTCTGATGGTCTCAAGTCATGCCTCGGTTTACCCTGACAGGATCTCAGCCGCCAGCAAAGCCAGGCTTCCTCGAACAAGGAAGGTAAACCATTCCATAGCTCAAAAGTCACCTTGAGTTCAACGTCACCAACACGCCTTTAGCATTTATGAAGCACACCGCTAGTTGTGGGTGTAAGTAAACAGAAGTGACTTTGTGAAGTGTAGACTGGACTCAGCTGCTTTCTCGCTACTATGTTTCTACTAAAGCTCTTCTCTTTGCGGCCGCCCCAAACAGGCTCTCTCTTCTTGGATTCTTAATGTCATGTGGGAAAAGCAATTACTTAAGGAAAAATCAGATGTATTTTATTTCTTTGGTGTCTTCACAGACAGATAAAAAGGTCTGCATTTT